TATATTTACTAAAAAAGGAAACCAATAACTTTTCAGTAGAGAAGACCACAAGTCATCACCTTAAGTGATGAGATTTAACATGACCAGGAATAACACATATGGACATCAAGAATCTCTGTAATAGAATATCTCAAGGAAATTTTTTCTTTGGTATTCTTATCCAAAATTGTATAACCTTACTTCAATTATGAGAAAAAACTATACAAAAATCCAAATTGTGGGCTTTTTCCAAAATAACTGATCATATTCTTCAAAAGTATCAAGACTATGAAAGAATAAGAAGTGTGACAGACTGCAGAAAAGGAAAAATAACAATCAAATGCAATGTAGGATCTGAATACTATCCTAAAACAAAACATATGCCATTAATGGAAAAGCAGGCAGTATCTGATCACGGTCTGTAGTTTAGTTAAAATTTTGCTCTAATGTTAATTTCCTGATTATGGTTATTGCGCTTTGGTTATATAAGAAAAACTTTAGGAAAAGCTGGGTGAGAGGGAAAAAAAGGACTATCTTTGCAATTATTCTACAAACCTAAAGTTAGTTAAAAATGAAAGTTATAAAATAGTAAATACTTATGTGCTTAAGCTACTATGTCAGAAGTAGGTATAGAGCCCTCCCTGGTGGCGTAACAGGTTAAAGTGCAACACTATGAAGCTATCACAGCCACTGAGGCATGACTTTAATCCCTGGTCAGGAGTTGACCCATGTGGCACGGCAGATATCTCCTGTCTCACCTGCTGCTCCCTGCAGCAGTGTACTTTGTCAATCTGCCTGTTCTGCTCTGCACTCTGCCTCTGGTAAATCCCTGCACCTCTGGCCTGTACTCAGTTCTGTATGCATAAATAATCTTTTTTTTTTTTTTTAAAGAAAGTATGTTTAGCCAGGGGTAATGCTAATCGATAAAGTTAGCTTGAGAATAATTCAAAAGAAAAAGTATTCTGCCTTTCTAACACTGGCATCTGTTTCCCCTGTAGATATTAGAATAAAGAATGTGAAAACTCACCTAAAATTGTAGAGAGGTTTAAAAACTGTGCTGCCTCCTCTATTACTACTGCTTTACTGGTATCCAGAAGAGTGGAGTTCTTGTATAGCATGTGTTCTTCCAACTTGGGACACTCCCAATCTAAAAACACAGGGAGAAATGGCACAAAACTAAACAACACGCATGTGACAGGTTACCTTCCAATCTATACTGACTTAGGGCCACAGTCTATACCAAGATAGGGTAACTGAAGAGGAAAATAACAAGTTTTGATGGTATCTTTGGTGTATTTTGGTTTTCTAACCTTTCATATATTTGCCCCACAAACATTAAAGGTGCATGCTATCTAACTCTCATATTTTATGTAAAAGTGACATTAACTAGCATAAAACAAAATAACACAGAAGGGTCTCCCTGTAGCACAGAGGTTAAAGACAGCCCTATCAAGCAATCACCAGCTGGGAAACTAATCCACATGGCACAGCAGACCTCTCCTGTCTCACCTACTGTTCCTCTCAGCAGTGTATTTCAGTACACCTGCCTGTTCTGCATCCCACTCTATATCCAGTGAATCTCATCCCTGCACCTCTGGCCTATTCCCCAGTTCTGTATGCATAAATAAATAAATCTTTTTAAAAAATAGCCCATCCTTTAGTACAAACTCTTTCTGTTTCAAAATATCCCAAAGAATTCAGATCCCATTTGAGTAGGACAGGAATAGATACATCTTTCATATCTTTATTATAAATATTAGTGCAACCAAATTCTAAGCTTTCCTGGGATACTATAACACAAAATGGCTTGTTTCTGGGATATTCCCACTATTGACAGGTCCAGGTTTGCTTTATCAGATCATTTACTCTGTAGCTTTCCAACTCAATGCTTTATTTTTTACAATTCTCTTCAATATTGTATGTTCAGTCTTTCAAAAAAAAAAAGTTATTTTCCACAAAAAAGCTGATTCAAAAAGACACCTGCACCCCCATGTTTACTGCTACTTTATTTATAATAAGAAAGACATGGAATCAACCCAAATGTTCAAAATTAGATGACTGGGTTAAAAAGATGTGATTACTCAGCAATCAAAAAAATAAACTCATGCCTTTTGCAGCAACATGGATGGAGCTGGAAGGGATCATGTTTAGTGAAATAAGCTAAAAAGAAAAAGAAAAAATACTGGATGGTTTCACTTGTTGCAGGAGCATAAAGGACCGGGGTGGGGGGAAATAATAATAATGAACAACTATATACCAGAGACATTTTATGGGGGTGGAGTGGAGAATGGAATAAAAAATGGGGGTCAAAAAATGTGCAAAATGATGTAAAAATAAACTTTTGTAATAATTAAAAAAAAATGGGGGTCAGAGGAAGTGCAAAGGACTATGGTGATGGCACACAGGTGAATTGTAATCCCATAGGGATTACAACTAAGATAGAAAAATGCACAAAATGATGTAAAAATAAACAATTATATTAAAATTAAAAAAGGCATTCTGGCATTTTAGAAAGTTTTAGGTGAAAGTATGTGTTCAATATGCCATCATTAACTAAAGACTCCTAAATATATGTGCAGTGAATTCAAATAACTCTTAAGTTTCTTAGCTTGTAGAGAAAATTTAAGCAAGGATATAGCTGTAAGGAAGAGAAATGAAAGAAATAAAAATCATCCTATAGTTCAAGAAAAAATTCATTATGTGCAAAACAGCCTAACAACTGGATTATTCTCTTCCATCCTTCTTTAATCTGAGGGCTTTTGCAGCATAGTCCTTTGTGATTAAGCAAGGAACACAGTAGATAGGAAACAGGGGAGGGAGGTATTGGTGAGGAAGACAAACACACCTTCTCAAAAGAAACATTTAGTCATTGTAGGATATGTGGACAAAGGAACAATTTCTATAGTGGAGTAATTTAAAGTAGAAATCATTTTCTTACCTAAATGATCTGCTCCTCTGAAGAGTTCAGGTGATGGGAAGCTACTTAACCTTTCTTCAGAACTCCTATATTCTGTGTAAGAGTCTGTGACTGAACAACTCAGAACATGCTGCCAACTTAATCCTGTAGTATAAACAAGAAAACAAAAAAAGGTAAAAATTTCAATAGAAAACAATCAAAGCCCTAAAAGTTTTAATTTTTAGAAATTTACATGCAGTTGTATAATATAATAAGAAAGTATTATATAGATATAGGATATATCTATATAATAGATCTATAGATCTATAGGTAGTTGTTAGGCAGTTTTGCACATAATGAATTTTTTCTTGAACTATAGGCTGATTTTCATTTCTTTTATTTCTCTTCCTCTCAGCTATGTCCTTGCTTAAATTTTCTCTACAAGCTAAGAAACTAAGAGTTGTTTGAATTCACTGCACATATATTTAGGAGTCTTTAGTTAATGATGGCATATTGAACACATACTTTTACCTAAAACTTTCTCTTCCTTTCAGCTATGTCCTTGCTTAAATTTTCTCTACAAGCTAAGAAACTAAGAGTTGTTTGAATTCACTGCACATATATTTAGGAGTTTTTAGTTAATGATGGCATATTGAACACATTCACCTAAAACTTTCTAAAAAACTGTTTCCACATACAACTGAAAGGCAAACTATTGTACACCACTTATTTCAAGCTTAGAAAATAAATGATTTTGATAATGATAAATGAATTATAATATTTTCCCAATTTTTTCAAAGTTTTACAACTTACTCCTCTACTCTTGATGCAAAACATAACTTGTGATTCTTGACACCAAAACATAATTACATATAGTAAATTACATATAGTAAATTACAAATATCTCTTTATATCCTATATCTATATATTTGCAAACTACTAATGAAAAGCTAACTATCTGAGGAAAGGGTGATTTTAGTTATTCCAACTGAAACACAAAGTTTCTAAATACAGACAAAGTAACTAAAGGAACTGAACAGATAACCCAGAAATAAGTTCACACATGTATTTTGCCCAAGATGCTAAGTCTATTTAGTGAAGAAAGTATAAATTATTTGTGTTGGGAAAACTGTAAATCCATATGCAAAAGCAAAACAAAACAGAAAACTTGCATTCATACTTTCCACATATAAAAAATTAACTGAATATCACAAATCTAAATGTAAATCCTAAACTACAAACCTAAGGGGAAATAAGAGGGAAAGTTTCATGACAAAGAGTTAGTCAAAGATTTTTTGATACACAGTATAAAAGATGATTCATAGGACAGTAGCAATGATAAACTGGACTTTAGAAAACTTTAAAACCTTCTTTTCAAAAGAGACTTAAGGTGAAACATAAGCTACACACTGAGAAGAAATATTTTCAAATGAATTGCAACCCAAAATGGAAAGAATTTTGAAAAGTTAAGAGTAAGAAATAAACATCTAAACTTGGAAATTTTAAAGACATCACCAGAAGAGTGGACTAGAAAGAAATTTACAATAAATGATGTCCTGTCCTTTTTACCTGTTTAATTTTTAATTCTAACCTTTTAAAATCAGTTTGGAAGTGTTTCTTTCTCTTCATTAAAAAAAAAAAAAAAAAAGGGGGCACTTCCTGCTGGCACAACAGGTTAGGATGCAGCACTGCAAGCTGGCCGCAGTCGCTTTAGTTCAAGTTCCATCCGCAGCCCTGGAAGGGAGCCACTTGGCTCCGCAGACCTCTACTGACCCGCCCGCTGCTCTCCTCAGCAGTGTACTTCGTCAGTTGGCCTGTTCTGCTCCCCACTCAGTCTCTGGTGAATCCTCTCACCGTCCCTGCATCTCTGGCCTGTACCCCAGTTCTGTATGCACAAATAAATAAATCTTTAAAAAAAATAAAGAAAGAAAGAAAAAGAATTGTCTTAAAAAAAAGAGTTTAGAAGGACTGGTACAGTTCTAAACGTTAAGGGAAACCGGAAAGTTGAGTAAGAAAAAGGAAAACATACACAACTTTAGTCAGTCAGCATTCATTAAACAATTCTAATGTCAAAATAGATATCAATACCAATAAAATTTCACTGGGTTTAGAGGTAAGGGATGAAAACTTGTTTGCTCCAGCTCTGGATCTGACTCACATCTATTTTTGCCTATTCAATATCCTCCTCTCTTTCCTTCATTAATACTTTTTGAAAAAGTATTGCTATGAGAAATCTCAGCTTACTCAAATGTGGATTACTTGCTGCACAACTTTCTTCCTGAGATTCTGTCTTTTCTTAGCAATGATGGCAAGTTCAAAGCATGCATGGGAAGACTCAAATCATTCTCTGCTCACTCAAGTCATTTTCAGTCCTACATGGGAGCCACCCCACTCTCCAGAAACCTCCCTATATGTAAACATATCATTCTGATATGTGAGGGAATTGTCTTAAAATATGAATCAAATTTTTGGTGGGTACCAATAAAATCAGTCTTCTGTCAAAATCAGTTCTCTTCAGAATTTGAAATGCATTTTCCCACCACACTCTAGTTTCAGTAGTTTACTCTTAAGAAGTTAACTCCATTCATATCTTTGATTGTTTAACTGCAATCAAGTATTTTTCTCCCGAAGATGAAGTATTTCTCTTTTTATTCTGCAGATTTTAAAATTATACAATGCCTTAGTGTGGGTGTTTTTTACATTCACTGAGATTGGAAATGGCTGTACTCTTTCAATATGTATACTCATGGCTATAAACCATGAACCAACACAAATGCAATGAAAATGTGTTTCTAGTTTTCTGTTTTAATGTCTGAAAGTAGTATTTTTCAGATGTTACAAGCTCTGAACAAAGTGGGTTTAGAGGGAATGTATTTCAACATAATAAAAGCTGTAAATGACAAGCACACAGCCAACATGGTATTCAATATGAAGAGCTGATTAATCTTTCCACTAAGATCAGGAATAAGACAGGGGTGCCCACTCTTGCTTCAGTTATTCAACATAATATTGGAAATCATAGCTAAAGAAATTAGGCAGAAAAAAAATAAAGAAGTAAAAGGCATACAAAGTAGAAAGGAAATGAGCAGATTTAAACTATCAAAACTAAGTCATTGATGGAAGAAATTAAAGACACACAAAGAAATGACACACATTTCTATAAACAGCCTTCCCTAGCCATCACCTATCTGACATTGCTTCTTGGGCATGTTAAAGGCACCCATAACTTACTATATTAAAACTCGAATTTATGATTTTTCCCTCAAACTAGATTTTCTTCCAGTTAATGGCAAGACCTTGTATCCAGTTATATCAGCCAGAAGCAAGTGTCATCTCTGATGCCTCCAAGTCCTTCACTCTTTATTTGCCAAATCCTGTCAATTTCATGGCCTAAAACAGCCATCAGATATGCCCACTTCTTTCCATTTCTAATGGAAAGTATAAGATGCCTTTTTTCTCCCTTAATAAACAGTAGTCTCTTAAGAGGTCTACTGTCCCCACTGCTGTTTCTATACTATAGCTAAAGTGGCATCAATATTATTTAAAAGACTTCAGTGATGCTACAACTTTCACTTCTTCTCACATATCCTCTTGTCTTTACTGCATGATGGCCTTCTTTCAGTTCACTTTCTTCAGTTCATTTGAACACATAATGCTCAGTCCCAAGTTAGGGTCTTTGCACATGCTGTTCCCTCTGCCTAGATTGCTCTTTACTTGTCTCTTATGCATAGAAGTTTCTACTCTTCTTCATATGTCCATTAAATTGCTATTCTCTCCAAGCAAATGGAATTAGTTGCACTGAAGTTAAAAACTGGAAACATTAGTGAGCAGATCTGATATCTTTCTACTATGAATTTAGATAACTTCTTTAAACATTAACACAGTTTAAGTGTGATTATTATACTAAAGCAGGATTATTGTATATTACATACAAAGTTTATTGTGCTTCCTTAGGAGATTATAGTCTTTTTAAAAAATCTTTCTCTTCAATACTTAACACAAATGTGATTTCACATTTAGTATTATATATGCATTTGAGAGCTAGTGATGAAGCCAGAGCAGAAAGGCACAAATGTTCACCTAGGACTAGAAGAAAGGCACATTCTTCCACTAAAATTGGAATATGGGGCCCTTCCTGGTGATGCAGCGGGCTAAAGCACAGCACTGCGAAGCTATCAGCAGCTTCAGTGCGATTTTGATCCCCACACCGTAGGTGATCAACATGGCTCAGATCTCTCCTGTCTCACCTGCTGCTCCCCTCAGCAGTGTACATTGCCAATTTGCCTGTAACTGCTCCCCACTCAGATTCTGGTGAATCCTCTCACCACCCCTGCACCTCTGGCCTGTACCCCATATCTGTATGCTTAAATAAATAAATCTTTTAAAAAACTTTAAAAAAATTGGAATATGGCACTAAGATATATATATATATATATACTTTGTAAGAAAGACCCAAGTTCACATCTGACAGTCTTACCTGATACTAGTTCACTATTTGATGAACTACTGTTAACCTGCAGGTTATCTGTCACTGACTCCTACATGAAATAAGAATTAAAAATACAGCACAAATTATGAGGTGTAATATTTCAATATTATAACATTGATTTGGTTATTTTGAAACTGAATATTGACTATGTAAATTAGTTCATTTATATATATTTTTTCAGCTTACTGATGACAGATATAATTATAGTTAATATTAAATCTAAATATAAACATTGAAATATAATATTGTGAACATACGAAGGGAGTCAATATAACACACTTGTCAACTAATGTGGGATAAACCGGAAACCAGAAGATAATCGTTAATCTTTTTCCGATTTTCTAGGGAGGGAGAGTTTTTTTTCTTCTAAATATAAAAGCAAAATATATAAATTTAAAAATTGATAAGTAAATCTAAAATACTAGAAATTAAATTAAAAGAAAACATGGAAAAATCTTGTGTGTGTAAAAGCAAAACTATCATTGAAAATCAATGAAAAATCATTTCACAAACACAAATTAAATGAGGGAAAAATAAACAATAGTATACATGTAAATGGAAAGTAAAAAAATGCTATGTTTCATCTATCACATACATTTATTTTTTAAGCTTGGAAGATGGTGCGAACTTGTCAACAAAAGTAAAAAATTTAAATCTGTTATGACCCTTGACACACTACAAAATATTAACCTTATGATAAAATTTGATGCACATATAAAAATTCTACAGCCAACCAAGATCTACAATAAAAAACCTATAAACAAGCTCAATTCTCCAATCACAGGAAAATAATCATTCAGATTACAGTTTATCCATCAACACCACAAAATACAATGCAGACACTAAAAATATTATTTGCAAGACTACTTAATATTAGAGGAACATGCATTAAGGTAATGTGTAAAATGAAAAACAACATTAAAAAGGAAATGAAAATCATGCAAAAATCAGAATAAATTGTTTAAACACTTTTTTTTGGCATTTAGTCTGAATCATATTGAAGGAACACTTAACAGTGCTAAAATCTGGTTGAAACTTCCCTCCCCCAAAAAACATGTTATGAGGCATATGTAAGCTAAAACACTGGAAGATGATTATCAAATTTATGTCATGTGAGTCACACCAATTTTTAAAATGTGTCTTTCTCTAAACTACAGCTGTACATCTTTAAAACACTGTACAGATTCCACAATAAGTATCAAATATGGACCAAGAACTTATATAAATATTCTAAGGGTAATAACCCTGTTTCTAGTTGTTAACAGGAATTCAAATGAGAAAATATGAAAAGACTTTAAAATCTTAAGTGTTACTGAACATAAGGAGTGACAAAGAAACATTTTTATCTCTTACACAGAAATTTAGTCATTAACAGACTTTTGTTTTTTTGGTCAAGAAAATAAAAAAAAATGAAAATGCACATCTAGGAACCTACCACAATCAGAAATTCAAGGCCCTACCTAAAAGCACATCATCAGCGTTTGCAAAAAATACTAGCAGGTTGTGTGTAATGTCTACTGACCAAAGCCCCTGATGTACTTTCATCTGCAGGGAGGCCAGCTATCACCAGTCCCTGCTAAGTATTCCCAAAGATCATAGAAGAATCATACATACAATCAATGGAGCGATGTTCCCGGCCTGAGTCTCTTCACTCGTGCTATTTTCTTGCAGGCTTTTCTCTCCTGAGACTCTTAATTGAGTGCTAACAAACAAACAACACAATGAGTTTACACTGTCTAGATTGCCTCTCACCTTTATGTTCACCCTGTTCTGAATAGGAAAGGCTGTTGGGGAAATTTTTTTAGAAAGTGAGGGCCAGAGTGGGTATTGATACTCAGTGCTCTGGATGATTTCAAAGAGGTTTTACCACACTTGTTTTTATGTAACTTGGCGAGATTTCCTTCTTTTTTAAAAAAAATTTAAAAAAAGATTTATTTACTTATGCATACAGAACTGGGGTACAGGCCAGAGGTGCAGGGGTGGTGAGAGGATTCACCAGAGACAGAGCGGGGAGCAGAACAGGTGCACTGATGAAGTACACTGCTGAGGGGAGCAGTGGGGGGGTCAGGAGAGGTCTGCCGTGTCATGTGGGCCACCTCTGGGGTGGGGATTGAACTCATGTTGGGGCCTCTTTAGCTTCTTAGTGCTGTGCCTTACTTAACCTGTTGTGCCACCAGGGAGGGCCCTCCTTTTTTTTTTTTTTTTTAAATTTTTTAAGTCAAATTTCTGTGTCGATGTTGTAAAAGTGAACTCAGTATTCTATTTTGTTTCTTGATTCCTACAATGGGGGGCTAATAGAAAAATAGCTCTGAAATTCTGAGGTTGCCAAAAGGCCTGGGGGTTATTACTCCAAGCTACGCACCTCAGCGGCCCAGGGCCGCCACCTCCCAGCCTGCTCTGCTCAGCCTTCTCCTCGATCCTCGCCAAGTCGTGCACTTTGCCACTTCCTTTCAGGCCTGAAAGAGGGCGACTCCTGTCAGGGTGAAGGCCGTGGGAGGCCGCCCATGGGCTTTGGGGTCCCTGGCTCCGAGGCCCCGCCACTCCCACCCTCCTCCCTCGACCGGTCCTTCCCAGATGCCGCCCCATAGACCAGCCAGGCTGGGCTTACAATGGGCAGGGAGTCTTCGGCCAGGCCCCGAGGGGACCTCCACCTTCGCAGGAGCGCCTAAGCCTGGCGTCGGGGTTAGGTTAAGCCTTTCGCAAGCCCGCTTCTTGCGGGTATACACCCGTGGCCACAGCGCCATCCCACCCAGGGCCGAGGCGCCTCGAGGCCCTCGACGGCCTGTCTCGTTGTAGCCTTCCTAAGGAACAGCGCTACAGTCGGAGGGAGGCAGCGTCCAGGACGGCCTGCAGGAGGTATAAAAGGAAGGTGAGAGAATCTGGGGTGCTCCCTCCCGACTGGGTGCTCGACTAAAGCCGTCAGTGGAGCTCCCGCGCTTTTATTGCTGCCAAGCTGCACTGCGCAACGGCTTCTGGGAAGACGCGGTGAGGTATGGCGGCCCCGCCCACCAGGAAGCGCCCCCGGCTGGCTGATAATAGCTAATGCGCTGTAAGCCTGCAGGGCGCCTAGCAGGGGCAGCTCTCCACAGTGTGAGGAGAAACCTTACAGAACCTTCTCATTCAGGGACGCCTGTGCTTTCGAGTTCCTCTTTAGCCGGATGGACCCAACATGTGCTAGCCACGCCACCACTGCTCTTACCAGCTCTGCTATAGGGCCTTTCTTGGTAATGGAGTTTTAGCAATCTGAGCACAAGGAGTCCAACAGGTAAGCCCGACTCTGCAGGAAGGGCAAAGATAAACATGAAAGCGACAGTAAGCATGCACCCAGAAACCAGCTGACCTTGGGGCTGCCAATTTGGGGGTAGGGTGGGAGGGAAGGTGTATCTGGAATCCAACCAGTCTTGGGTTCCAGGAAGTTTCTTCTCAAGGATAGACACCATCCCTTAGCTTCCTTCTTCTCCCTCAGGGGCCACCTCCTGGACTTCTTGGCAGCCTGGGTAGAGACTTCCATAGTAGCACACCCTTATGTTATAGGGCAGGGAGAGGGGGCACCCCTGAACCCCCAAACCTGCCTGCTCTAAATAGCTTCTGCCACCCACCGCATCAAAACAAGACATAAGAGCTGTAATGAAAAGGAACTTTAATACAGTGAGTGTACAATATGGAAGACAGAGAATATAATTTCTAAATCAAACACCTGAAGTTACCCATCGCCTCCTGGGCAAAAGTCAACCCAAAAGGGATTGGTCTTAGGCTGAGTTCTGTCCAACTGGAAGGATACAGAAATGACCTCCCTCTCTCTATATACCCAGGTTGGATTATCTGGCTGCATGTGATAAACATTGTGCACATAAGAATAAGCATTTTATTTTTAAACAATTATATTTCACAACCATTTGAAGAGTTTATAGAAACTCAAGCCTTTCTGTGAAACTCCAGTATTTTGTTGTGATAAAAGTTATATCAATATACTATGTATTTTATTCACTCATATATATTTTAGCCTGCTTTTAGAAATGCATAACAATTGATATGTGATTATTATGAATTAAAACAGTTTTGTAAAGAACAGAAGGTTCAAATATAGTGTTTACAACCACTGAATTGATACTTACTCAGCACCTTACTCTCTGTTAAGCATTGTGGTAGGTCCTGGGGATACAAAGGTAAATTATAAAAAACCCTTAAATCAAGGATCTCACAGTTTTGCTGCACTATAAAGCAGTTTTTATATTACAACATGCTTTCTTTCATCACATCCATGATATGCTGACAGTCTGTAGTTCACAAGTCAGTTCTCCAGTTTTCCTTTGGAGAGAAGAGGATATAGTGAAAAAACTTAAAATTCTTAAATGACCTTTGTAAAGGCCTGGGTCCTGGGATGCTCTATGTCTACTAGTGGAAGAAGCTTTGGGGGTGAGTGGGCAGGGGAACAGCTTAAAGCAAAAACCACTGTAATCTTCATTGACCTTATTCCCTAGAATTCTGTCTTACTATAGTGAATTACATTCATTGAAATTCTATAAAGGATTTATACAAGTTAATGCATAGGGTTTCAAACTGGAAATAACCTTTGGCATGGTATTTTTGAACCACAGGTGTCCTTAGAGACCACAACATTAAGGAGGCTCATTATGACAGGTGGTTCACTTAAGTGGCATAGGTCTCCTGGCATTTGGCCAGTGTGCTTGTCATGCTCCCATCCCTCCCAACACATAGCATGGGAATGGTTAGGCAAGCATGAAAAGGAGCTTGAAGCCCTTGAGTAGTAAGGGGAGAATAAGGGACTAAAGACTGCTGTGTTCTTTTTAAAATATTCAGTTAGGCCTTTCCTGGTGGTGTGAGTTAAAGCACAGCACTATGAAGCTAACTGCAGCCACTGCAGCACAAGTTCAATCCCCCGCTAGGAGCTGACCCCCATGGCACAGCAGACCTCTGCTGTCTCATGCCTGCTGCTCCCCACAGCAGTCAACTTTGTCAACTGCCTGTTCTGCTCCCCACTCTGTCTCTGGTGAATCCTCTCACCACCCCTGCACGTCCAGCCTGTACCCTAGTTCTGTATGCATAGATAAATCTTTGTAAAATAAAGGTTAAAAAAAAAAAGATGGGTATATGTATTGCATGAAGGTACAGAAAAGCACAATACTTTTAGAGCAATATAAAAAGTAGTTGGTGTGACTGGAGCCAGGGCTTTATTGGGGAATGGCAAGAGAAGAGATGCTAGGCTTTGTGTGTTAAACCAGTGAAATTGAACTTTGTCCTGAAAACTATGGAAAGTCGTCAAAGGAATATTAATCAAGGGGTAGCATGACCAGATTTTCAATTTAGAAAGATCTCCCTGACTCAGTCTGGATAGTGAAATTTGAGGAAGCTGTGGTCAAAATAGGAAGACTAAATACTGAAACTCTGTAATACTTGAGAAAAGGATGGATGAGAGTGGCCCCTGCTACACTAATAGCTTCAAGAATAGAGTGGATGATAGCAAATATACGGAGAAGGCAGAATTTGAACAGCTTCGACATAGTAGAATGCACCATTCTTAAAAAGTGTGCCAATTAACTGTGTATAGGTTAAAAACATTATGGAAATTCTTTTTAAGGGCTATCATGATAGAAAATTTGAATACAGTTACTTGTGTTTGTTTGAAAGCATAAAATGATTTAAATTCAGCACACATTTGAATACAGTTACTTGTTTGTTTAAAAGCATAGAATGATTTAAATTCAGGCCAACGAGAAAGTCTCTGGGGACACCACAAGTCTGGAGTTTGGGGATCTTACAGAGGATGTAGAATATGCTGACAAGTGATATGTTTACTGTAGCACTAGATTATTACCACATTTCTAACATCAGGATTACATTATATAAATAGTAACTATATGCAACTTTGAGAAACAAAAAATCTTTATTTTTTACAAAAGTTTTCATAAATGCATCTTATATTTGATGTGCATGCTATTATAACAAAGCAACTAAAAATAGAATCACAGTTAAGATAATTTTATGCATATTTAAAAAGTAATATTTTAATCTCTTCAACTTTTAAAAATTGAAAGTAAGCATCTCTTCAAAAAATATCTATTTTCCCCATGCAATTGTTGCAGTAATTTAACAAGGAAAATTAAAATTACCAGTCAAATGAATGTGTAAAAGCCTTTGTCACCTCATGAAAATCTTTTCAGTTTGGAACCATGTTCAGAAATGTCTGTTCAGAAATGTCTGTATGCCAGGTGATTTACCTACTGGCGCTGGGTCAGTGTTCTAACTGAAGAGTTTCTCACTTGGGGTATTGTTCTTACTTGAATGCTAATCCTGTTCTTACTGCAGTTATTTGTCGATTCACAGAAAGCAAAAGAGAGAAAATTCAGACTGCTGGAATTGTTTTTTTCCTGTTTACGTAAATGCTTCCTTAAATAGAAATAGGCAAGAAACACAGCAATTTAGACCAATGTATAGCGTGTCAGTTTTATATCATTATTCATTTTTCCTGAGATATCAAGTTTGTAAATAGTCTGTTTTCATGCAAACAATACATTTTCCCATTCTTCTTTACATTCATTTCATAGTGTTTTAAATTCTAAATAACTGTATCACATTTGTGCTTTACACACTTGGAAAATAAAGAATAACTCATTTTCTTTTCTGGATAAAAAGAAAAGAATTGCTGGGTTTTTTAATGGGCAATATAATCAACAATCAAATAGAGTTGCTAAAACATTATTCTGCTATTAAAATCACAATGGAAAGTTCTATTTTTTCTCATGCTTGTAATTTTTATCTAAATTTAGAAAGGTTGACTTGCTCATGTAAAGGAAACATTGCATTTCTGTCTATTCCTTGAATGTCTGTAAGTTGTTAAACATGTGAAGCTAAGCCTACAATCACACCTGACCTGATTTCAGAGGTCAGACTTTCTCTCTCACCTGGAAAGGAATCACAATCCAATATACGTGTTATTTCTGACAAAAGGAAAAAATTTGGTGTATATTCCATTTTATACTATACACGAGATTAGATTGTAAAATATAAGAATTACTAGCACTTTTGAATGAGAAACAGATGAAAGGCCAAACAAGATTATGTTTATGCTTATGGAACTGATCTCCATTATGGCTCTAGACTTAAATGGGATCTGATATTCACTATGAATGTGAACATCTTAAGTGCATAGCCTTTTTCTATATTGGTTAAAGAGAAATATAGACTTTTCCTTCTTAGTATAAAGTTAGACAAGAAGGATTTTTACATTAACACACTATTTCACTTCTCCCTTTATTAAAAAAGTTCAGTGGAGTTAAACAGAAGAATAGATAAATGTACATGCAACATATTTAGGGCACATTGTTTTTCTCAGCATATCTTCAGTAAACTACTAGCCCAGATGTGATGATTTTCACATAGGTCAGGACAGCTAGTAGAAACGCAAGGTCTTTAAAGTGAGAAAAAGAATTTTAGGTTGTTCATAATCATATCTAACTATGATGATGTGTACATAGAACAAAATTTTGTTTAAAAGTACTTACTAATATTACATTGTTCGAAATTCATTTGGAAACAAAGCCAACAATGAAATTTTAGTTGAATGAAAGGACAATGGGAAACAGCTTTGTTTTTTTGCTATGTGAAGCGATCTGTTTTTAAAATAGTGTGAATATCCAACATAGGTAATGATTTTTCCATTTTTATTAGTCAAAAATATACTGAAGTATAAAAATGGGATACATAAAAATTAATTTTATGTAGA